CCCGGCCGAAGCCTCTCCTACCCTCCAGCAAGGCCCCGCTGCCGCCAAGCTTCGGCAGCGCTGGGCACCGGGCTGGGCTCAGGGCAGCGCTCATCAACCCACCCGTCAGAAGAAAAGGGGGTTATTGAAAAGTTAGAGGTTTGCGTGATGAAAATATCAAGTGCCACCATATGAAATCGCCACAAGAAGTAAAACTGGTCCCTTGCTGAAGGGTACACGCACTTTAGAAGAAATGTGGAATTTATATACAGGGTGTACTTACGGACTTACTGCAAAAAAAGGCTCAAGAACAAATTCCAGTAGAGGGAGACAAAAGACAAAGCACGGGGTAGAGCGGGTGTGGAGTTAAAAACTTGTGGTTTTCCCCATGTGAGAGTGTTAAACTAGTAGCAACAGTGTAGAAATAACATAAAATAGTAGAAATAGTAAGTTTCATATTTCAGATTACCAGAATCGATAATAGGAGTTTTTCATTACTACATTTACTACATAAATGTGTTAGTGTTAAAGAATCCCTGGGACCAGTGCACCAGTTGTCATGTGTCTTGCAGCACGAGCGACCTACTGTTTTTGTTTCTAGTTGGGGAAAAAAATCATCAGCTCCTAAGCTTTTAAAAATTAGTTCACTAGCAATTCAGCCTATCCTATTGCTGTCCTTTGACCAAAGAGTAAACATACACAGGGCTAACATCCAAACCACCTGGGACATCTGAGCCTGCCAACATGGAATGATGTATCACAATAGCATGAAAGGCCTGATCAAACTAATTTCTCAAGCCTCAGTCTAAAAGAAAAGAAAAAAAACAAACAAAGTTTTGATGGTGACCTCTCTCAGAAGTCATTCAACACTATCTTAATACAGCTTTGGTCTCGTTTCCAGAAAAAAAATGAAACAGCATCTGGGGGCAGAGAATGGCAACCTTTATGCTCACATGTGTAGCAAATAAGTAAATATGATCCATTACACATTAACTGTGTTTCATTACATAAGAACACAAATTTCATATTTATGTGGTTTTTCCTATTTCTGTGTAATTAAGTTATACTTATAACTGAGTTTTTCTGCTATTGTAAAGTGCTCGAGCAGGACTTGTAAATGGTCCACAGGCAATAAAGGAGAAACTAAACTTCCAGTACTGTTTACAAACAAAACTTGCATATATGTTCACAAGAAATCCTCAGAGAGCATAGAGAGGATTCTAGGAAATGTTTCCTGTGGAAGTTTTCATGTAAACTAACAGGAAGAGATTGAGACTAACTGTGGCCAACTTTTTTTTTTTTTTTTTTCCCAGTGGGGAGAGAGGAGTGTCTGTTGCAAAGATCTTACCACAATATAATGAAATTAAAATTACAACCATTATCAATCATATGTTTCACAAAAAGTCTGAAACGATGATTCAGCAATATTAAAACAAAATAAAAACTATCTTCAGAGTTTATGTTTTGAATAAGGGTTTTACATACAGTATTTGTACAAGGCACGACTGTACTTCAAACACACAATAGTCTGCATTTCAAAATAAAGACAAGATAAAAATGAGACTCCTTTACAAACTTAAAATTTAAACTTTTTTTTAGAAAAAGATAATTTGCAAGGCATCAGAATTCCATGTTTCTTTTTAATCACATTTTCATTATAATTACATAACTATACATTACCTCTGAGAATTATTTTTGTCGTGCTTTTTAATAATGTCCATAATATTATCTCCCGTTACAAGGCTATTCTGTAAATGTTTAAGTCTCTGTTGTTCCCTTCTCTTTTGGTCATGAAGATAAGGGGAATTAAGCAGCTGTGGGGGAAGAATGGTGCCTGTTGGTTTTACTCTCTTCACAACATCCCAAAAGAGCTTCTTGCTGTTGTTATTGATAAAAGTAATTGCAGTTCCACTGTGACCCAATCTCCCTGCTCTTCCAACCTGAAATAGCAAAAACTCATTTTTAGTTATCAATATTAAACAGAATTCATCATATTCATATATCCTTGAAGTTTATTTTCTGTTACAGAACAGCAAGTAATTTAAGTGACAACTCCAAATCTCTCTATCTGATCCTCTAAGCACAAAGCTCCAATAAACTTCCTGAGTTCAAGATACGCAAATCTGAAGCTTTTGCTTAAATACATCTGAAGTAACTTGCCTGTGGGACATACCAGAAGTCTATAACCTATGGGCAAAAACTTAGGTCCCAACAAAATGTTTCAAAAAGCGTCACATATATGTATGTACCTTGTATCAAGAACTAAACTTACAAGCATGACCACAAAAATGTCCTCTTCTTCCAATGTTCTAGTAACTTCAAAATGCTTGAACAAATTAGAAAAGATTCTCCAAAGACTCGCTATTTAGGAACAGATAGTATGTTAATATTGGTATTTTGATGCTAGGAAAGACCACTTTTATTTATTTAATACTTGGCTTGAAACTGTAGCCAAAAGATTATTAAAAAACTGAGAAGTGCACTGCATGCATTAACACAGACTACTCCAGGTGTGAGACTGGATGACTTCCAAAGGTCCTTCCCACCAACTCAGAACACAGCTAAATTCAAACTTAGACCAGTTCATTCAAGGCCATCTCCTATGAAGTTCTGAGTGTCTCTAAGCACAAAGGTCCCACAACCTCTCTGAGCAGCCTGTTCCACTGCCCAACTCGTCTCGCTGGCAAAAACATTTTTTGCTGTTGACAGTCCAAAATTCCCCTTACAGCAAGTTGTGACCATTCACTCTCATCCTTTCACCGTGCATGTCTAAGAGTCTGTCCCTGTCTCCTCTGTAACTGTCCATTATCAAATAGAAAACAGCAATTAAATCTCTACTCCAGCCCAAAGAAGCACATTTTCCTGTGCCTTTTCACATGTGTGCCAGCCTCCCGCCTTTGTCAAGACTTGCTCCAGTTTCTTGTCTTTTCTAGAGACGGTCTCAAAACTGGATGTAGTAGTAAAGTACTGTGGATTCTTAAGTGCCAAAAAGAGGGAAATTAGTAGTTCTCTTGATTTGCTAGCCGAACTAGCTAGGGTCTGTGTACATACACATAAATACACACACATATATGCAACACACACTTTTTTAAAGCAAGAAATCCCCAGCAAAATTATCAGAGGAAATACGAGACTAGGAAGATGGAATGAAAATAAAGTTCACGCCTTCTTTCCTGCTTGTATTACATGTATATCCCACTCTATGGATGAGCTGCCACAGAAAGGGAAATTGGGCCTTTCTTCACACCGATCGTAAAGACACAATAAACTCTACTTTCTGTAGACTCAAAATGATACAAGAGAATACAAACCAGGAAGAACAGTACTGCAACTATGACTGATATGAGAACACTGTACTAGGTTTTAGTAACTTACATAGGAGATACAAGAACAGAATTCTACATTTTAGTAATCTACTTAAAGAGACTTGTGGAAAAGATATTCAGCACCTTCCTTTTCTAGAGAAAAGTAATCTTTATGTTTACGCTTAAATTTAGATTTCCATAGATGGATGTCGTATTTCAGTATACTTTTCAACTAGTGCTTTAGCAGTTCATTTATTTACCTGATGTACATATTCATCCATACTTGAAGGCATATCGAAATTTACTACTAGTTCAACATTGACAAGGTCAAGCCCTCGTCCAAGGACTCCAGTACTTACTATAACTTCATACTTCTCTTGAAGTAACCCCTGACAAGGGAGGAATAAACAAAAAATAATTATTTCTTATATTTTGCACCTCTCAAAGCATAGGTTAGGGTTAGTTATACAGTACAAGAACACAGCCAGTGGGATTATTCTCTTGCAGGAGAATGGTCCCCCTGTATTCTTGGTTTAAATAGGAATATAATTCACAGAGCTAATTAAAGAGAGATCAAAACCACAATTTTAATTAAAAAAAGAAAGTGAATTGAAGTTAAATGCATATTAAAATTCCCATTTCAAAGCAGACAACCTAGCAAATAGTCCCCAGTATTTATCTGCATTTAAAATGGCATTATCTACAGTTTTGTTTGGTTCCATCTGTCTCTTCTCTCCCAGCAAAACTCCAGTTCTTGCTGCAGAAAAGCAATAAATTAGAACTTTCAAATTGATACAAATTAAGCCACCTTTAAAGAGAAATGGCAATTCTAAATCTGTCAAAACCCCCATAATTTTAGGAGGCACAAACCTGTAGTATTTCTGTTCTTTCCCCCTGAGACTTTTCAGAATGCATAGCTGTACATTGCAATCCTGTAATCTTATGAACAGCATCACTCAACAGATCTGCTCCTAGCTTACAGTCCACAAAGACCAACACTGGAGGCTTGAAGAGTTTCTTATCCTGTAAAATTAAACAGTTCTTGTAAGAAGGTATTACAACAGCTTGCTGCTCATCAGCAGCAACTTGAATTAAATTTCTTCTGCACGTTATCTCTAATATTAACAACGCTTTCTTTCAGATGAATAAATGTTCTTAGACTAGATTAAGAAGGAACAAGATACCAGCCATGAAACTACACCAATCCATACATCATAAACATATAATGATTTGTAGACTCAGAACCAAAGATTATATCACTACATGCATTTTTAGAAGCCAGAAACCTAGTTTCTTCAAGTATGACTTAGTAATTCTGAATTTCAAAGTTCTGAGGTTCAGTTAGAGATTCTTACCTACTTAGACAACCTCAACCAAGACTCCAACATTCCCTGCCCCCTAAGTACACAGATTAGTATTAAAGTCAAGAAATAACTAAATTAGCTTTCTCACTGGTTTCTTTAATGACTTTCAAAATTACAAACCACTCCCAGGCCATAAAGCAGCTATGACAGTTCTTAAATTGTCACAGAACTTCCTTTAAAACCGTCAGGACTTTCTTTAAAGTCCTTATTCCTCTACCACTCAGATAACGAGTACAGATATTGGGGATACCCCACTGTGAATCACAGAAAAAGTATTAATTTGTAACTTGTATCCCAGCACAGGAACCTAGGTTGCTGCTGCACAGAAGGTGCGAGCAACAGGAGTGGAGTTACCCCTGAAATGGCCATTAAAGCTCCTATAACTACTGAACTAGTTAGTACAGTTACATGCCTAACCTCACTCCACCTCTTCACTACATACAGATTAGAATTAAAGATAACCTGACAGAGATGTGTAAAGACATGAACTATACGTTGTTCTTATGAGAAAAGTATTACACTTACATTCAGTATTTCAAACAGCTTTTTCTTTTTAGATGGCTCTTCTACCCACAAGATAATTTGGCGGACATGGGAACATGGCAGGTTCTTTTCTCCAACTGTTATTCTTACAAAATCATGCAGAAGTTGATTTGCTAAGTGCTCAATGCCCACTGGAATTGTGGCTGACACCAGTATGGTTTGATGTTCATGAGAGATGTCTTCCAAAATATCCAACACTTGCTGCTGGAAACCCATTTTTAACATGGTATCCACCTAAGTGAAAAAAAAAAACAGATTTGTACCAGATTTTTCTATAAACAGCAGAATCCTGAAACTGAATTGACAGAAGAACAATAATATGTATGATTGGCATGTAATAATCCAAATGCAGGAGTATTTTCAGTTAGAAGAAAAGCTAAGAGATAAAATTTAAAACATGTTCTAATTAAAAACCAGTTCACACTGGTCTCGCAGTATTATCCTGTCAGGTATTTAAGTCTATTATAGCCAACAGAATCACGTTCTTCAAACACGTTTTTAATTGTGTTAGAATATGCTCTTTTATTTTAAGAACTGTATTTTGTGTTTATAAGGAACACTCTGTGTGTTGAATCAGCTTGACTAGCCATGCACATTGCCTCCGTATAGGCAATACAGCCCTAATAATTTAAAACTTACTTCATCCACCACTACAATTTTTATGCCATGCAGTCGAACAGAACTTTGCTTTAAAATCTCCCGAAGTCTTCCAGGTGTTGCTATTATAACCTAAAAAAAAAAAAAAAAAACAGACAAAAAAACAAACCAGGACTTAGAAATTCCCTGAAAGGACAGATGACTCTCCTACAAAAATGATAAAGTTATAGGTGAGAAGAGCACTAATTAGTGAAATTACTTGCATTCAAATAAGTCTCAAAAGTTTTATAGATAAGTAATAAATTATAAAGCTTCAAAAGGAAATGGACCTTATAGAACCCTACCGAAGTGTCTAAACAGAAGCAATGCAATCTGCACTAAAAAGAAACTCATTTTGTTGTCTAATAAAATCACATATTTCAATTTTTGAAAGCAGTCATGTCATTCATGAAGGTTTTCAAAACCAGAAAGCTATTACATATTTAGTCAGAAGTCAAAATGTTAATAAAATATTTGTATTTCTGTAAAATTTTCAAGAACTAACAATTATTTTAGTAGTTTGGCCTCTGGAAAAACACATATTTCTGTTTTCATACACATCAACAGTAACATTCTTATTTTCTGTCAATGTAATGAAAACACAGCTCTCCACAGGATCTCTACACGTGACAGGCCTTACCTTAACACTTTGCTTGAGACGGTGAAGCTGTGGTGGCAGTGGTAAACCTCCTACCAGGAGAACTGTTCTCATGTTTGGTAAACCAGCCATCAGTTCTTTAGCTTGTCTCTCTATCTGAATTGCCAACTCCCTTGTTGGTGCCAAAATAAGGGCAGATGGAGTTTCTGTCTAGAAAGAGGGTGAGAAATCTGTTGAATTGTTGTTATTATTTAAATAAAAAGCTTTCAAGATTAAACCCCCCAATATTAAAATATAAAGTATACTGTGCAGCTACTGTGGATACAATTAAGACGGTAATACCTCTTCTATCTGAAGACAGAAGGGTGAAAGGGATCATACCTTTCATGATACAGGCCAAAGAAATCTATACCTCAATTACTCAACTCAAAAATTAATGCATGCATGAATACACTGTTAGAATAGCTTCCTGACCAAAAAAAGAAAAGGCCCAGAAAGCTAGTAACTAATTTATAAAAACTGCTTTTTTTTCAATTGCAGTTATTGCATTGAATCTGTAAAATATTCAGACTAAATGCCATATGAACTCAAAACACAGAAAAGCTAGTTGACTCGAGGTAATTTAAAAAAAAGTTTTTAAAGTTTTTATATTATAGGAAGATACTATTTTCATTTACTGTCTTGCATACTACTATGTAAAAACAAAGAATGATAAAGACTATGTAGAGAAATTTAATATTATTCATCAAAGCTCAAATTTTGTGCATGCTATTATAAGCATATAACTGTCTTGCAGACACACTCAAAACTAATGCTATGGTGCTTTACAGATTAAGAGACTTACTTAAATAATTATTAAAAATAATCATTAAATAATAATTACTAAAAATAATTTGTTACTTCAATAATGTTTAAATTATTCATTTGAAAAAAGTACACATTCATGTTTGTGTGTATATCTATAAAGGCACCTAAACAGTTCAAAACACCATCTAGAATTAGGCCCAGAATATTCTAATACATTCGTATGCATCCCTTTTTAAATAAAACTACTGAAACAAAAAGCAATGCTGCACCACAAAGTACAGAACACTTTGTTTTTCATCATACATTCATGTCCTTACAAAACAAAAGTCTTATGATTATTTTTTTTCCCCCATAGTACGAAAGGGGAGACTGTATAATTGGAGGATTTCAGAAAAATGTATTTCACAAATTATATTATCCCAAATTCCTGTAGTTATTTGATGGTCAGCTGAACATATTCCAGTAGAAATTACTCTGAAATTATGCAAACACAAAAAATAACCCTCTTTCAGCCATCTGATAGATCAAGATATATGAACAACTTCTTGCAGAGTGCCTGGAATTATTTTCACTTCCTAAGTCATTTAGGAAGTTTACCACAGAATTGAGTTAGCTTTATTAAAAAGCAGAAACTGTACACTACTAACTAGGTTGCTCTATCTCCTGACCAAAGTGAAAAAACATTCAAAGTCATTAAAAATAATCAGCACCTCCCTCCTCTCCAAGAACCAATGCTCCATCACTCAAAAATAAAATATATCACTGAATGTCAATAAAAAACATTGCAATTGAATTGTCAGGTATGTTGGGAATTCAAGAGCCAGAGTTCCAAACCACTTTCTCTAAACACACAAACTTTCATTACCTCGTTCAAAACCTTCATAATAACAGGGAGTAGAAACGCTGCTGTTTTTCCTGAACCTGTGTCTGCACTAGCCACAATATCCCTCCCTACTAGTCCAACAGGGATCATTTGCATTTGGATGGGAGTTGGGACTTCATAGCCAGAATTCTTCAAATTATGATTTAAAGTTTCAGGAAAACCACAGTGTTCAAACTCTACAACAGGTCTTGGAACTTGCTGTCCCTGTACAGCAATACCTAGCTGCAATTTAAGGTTCTCAATCTGCTCGTCTCGCAAGCCTAAAATAAAGGAATGATCTTTGTAGAAATAAGGTGTATTAAGCAGGTGAGTTTCTGCCTCAGATTCTGCCGCTGCGAGTTGATCAGATTTTAGCTCTTTTTCTTGAGTTTGTAGAAGGTGTTTGGCTTTACATTCCAAGCTACAAATATCTTCATCTGTTTTATCACAGATGTACTCTCCATAGCGTCCACACACAACACACACAGGTTCTCCAGGTTCTGCCCAACGCTGGGATTTGCTGAAGGATTTTATGGGTTCTTCTGAAGAGCTGCCTTCATCGGTATTTTGGTTGTCCTTTCCCAAAGTTGTGCTAGCAACGCTAAGATCTTCAGCTACAGTTTCTGTGTGTTCTTGTACAACTTCATTCAAATTACATCTTGAAGCAGAAGTTCCTGTTCCAGATGACTTACAGTCCTTAAACTCGGTGGTCTCCTCTAGCCAAGATCCTCCAGAAGACAATTTGTTTTTCTTAGCGGTACAACTTGTATTTTCATCAGCAGTTCTCTTCACTTTAACAGATCTTGGTAAAAACATGCTTCAGTACACTAGAAAGAAAATTGTTACAGCTGTTAGAAACTACTACTATTGAGAAAAGTACATTTCACTGTTACCACAAAAAATTAAGTCCAGGAAACATATTTTCAAACCTAGAAACCAACTTTCAATCTCTGAAAAGATCTAGAAACACCTTGTTTTAAAATTATTTGGTCTTACCAATGTTGATGCAATGTAAAGAAATACTAACAGTGGAAGTTTTCGGTATCAGACATTTGTATTTGAATTAAAACTTTGATTTTCATTATGTCTGGAAATCACCCCTTTTTGATAGTCACATATAAGCCTTTGAGCAGCTTAGCTGTTTCTAAGGTAAGACATAGAAGCAAAACATGCATTCTTCTAAGCTATTAAAAAAAAACCCAAAGAAACAGAATCATCAGTTCTGAAAAAGATGTGACATTTAGTACAGGGCATATACAAGACCACTCTTTATTGTTTTTCAAAGTCGACCCAAATATAAAAATACTTACATGATCAATTTACCAAATCTCTACTGTAATACAAGGAAATCGAGTTAAGCGTCCATAAATAACCTTTTATATTCTCAAGCTCTCAGCAGCTGACTCTGAAAAGTGTCAGATGTTATCACCAACCTTGTAGCGGCACAATCGCTAAAGGCAGTAGACGAAACAGTGTAATTCTGAGTTAACCGTACTACCAGCCTCTGTCAACTTCTCTTTGTATCAGCTTTCCAGACATACACAAAGCTACCCCTGCGTTTTCCTTCTGTGTCACTGAGCAGCCCCGGGGCCGGCAAGAACCCCGGTGGGACCGGCCCTGCCGGCGGCGGGAAAGCCGCGCAG